TGGGCCGCGGCGGGCGGGCGGCTCCCGCGGGCACGGCAGGGGACCCGGGGGCCTGCGCCCCGGCGAGAGACGGGCGGGGGCTCGTCCTTGTTAGAGTTTATGTCGGAGCGCCAAGGGGAGGGATGTCTGAGGATGCCCCACCGGTGGCATAACGGGCCGCAAACGTGCAGGTGGATGGAGGTGAGCGTGGGGACGCCTCGCTCTGCCCTCGGGCCCCCTGGATCCCTTCGTTTCAGAACCCACATACAGTGTTCATGCTTCCCGCAGAGGTCACAAGACTGTCTTCAGTTATGCTTACTGGATATCCTGAAATGTTAGAAACCGAGGAAACTATAGCAATACAAAGATATTAAAAACGCTTTGATTTGAATTTTATTTTCGTTAAAATTCTGTGTGACAGAGTAGAAGCACTGTGGTCATGAGACCATAATAGAAAATAGTGTGCACATCTTTTTTTATCGGTTAGAAGGGGCAGGGACTCATTCCAGTTACTTTCTTCCAGCCCTGACTTTCATCTGAGGGAGGTAGTTGAGGTACTGGAACAGTTCGTGCAGGAGGGACGGATTTCAGCTGTGATGTGGGAGATCTGTCAGCAGCAAGCCCAGGCTGGCTCCCCCGACCTGCAGGAGGCCCTGCTCAACAAGATTGTATGTTTGCCTGATCATGTGAGCAATAAACTCCAGGGGAAAAACCCACCAGTATTCTTCCCACAGAACTACTTTCCTTTCTTGGGTGGTGCAGTTATCCAGGTGCTGCAGAAGATCTCTGATTCTCTAAGAGGTAAGAGTGTGCTATAGAGATGGCTTTTCTGAAGAAGTGTTTTGTGCATGGACCCCCTTGGCTGGTGCAGAGTCTCACATTCATCCTTCAGGCTGAAATTTGTTGTGCTTAAAAGCATAAGATACTAGGAATGAGGAAGATGGCAAAGGGTTTTTAAAATCCCACTGAAAGCTGCAGTCCTGTAAGTGGTTAAATAGAATCATCTGTTGTCAAAACTTAATTGTGGTCACTCAGTCTGTGCTGAGGGAATTGTATGGAAGATTTAGACTGTACTGAACGAACCAGTGGCTTTGTTACCATTGAGTTAAAGTGGGACTGAGCTACTTTAGTCTTCTGACTGCTGAGTGTCATTTTGTGCCTGTAGGGAGGTGGTGCTTGAAAAGTTAAGCTTATGATTTCGGGCTTCAGTACTCGTAGAAGTGTATACACCTCCTTCTGAAGGTTGTTTGGTGATGCTTTTGCTAAGCTTGTGTCTGTTTTATTCCAGGTGGCTTGGATTGCTCAATCTCTTTTGTTTCTCATGTCCTGGGGAAGGTGTGTGTCCATGGAAGACAAGGTGAGTGTTCTACAGTGGTATTTTGGGGAGTGGAAAGTGTTTTACTGTACTAGCATGGAAGGATGACTATGATGATGATCAACAGAGGGAGCAGGAGACTGACCAGTTAATACTTTGGGAGTTGGACTGTACAGGCTGCTCTCTGCTTTTTGAGGGTACTCAACTACGTATCTCATAGATGTTGATGCTTTTCTGTCAGCTCATGGAATGTGATCTGTTCTCTCAAAACTTGATGAGGTTATTGGCCTTCTCCCCCTGCCGTTTGGGGCATAACTGTTAAGTGCTCTTTTAGCGCTTTTCATCCAGTGGTCTGAAAGTGCCTTGTAAGTACCAGCATAAATCCCTGCCCATATGTATAACCATTTCATGTGAGTAGCCTTCAGTCTGGCTTTGCTTAGGACTTTGAAGCCACTGAATGCAGAAGTAGTTAACCAGGCTAAGGAAGAAAAGATTTTTCTATCTGTTTACTGTGATGAGGAATACTTGCAAGTTCCTCAGGCTTAGGTTAGTTCTCACCACAGGAGCAACTGTGCATTGCGTTTCTTCATCTTGTAAGGATCTTGAAATTTGCAGGCTGACCTTGAGTATCATTGCACCAGTTCTGTCCATCTAGTGTATTTGCCTGTTTTCTCTTTCACTTCAGAGGAAATTCTGAGCGTTTTGCTACCTCGCCTGATGGATCTCACCAAGTCAGACTGCATCTGGCAAAGAATATGCTGGCGATTGGTTGAATGTGTGCCAGACCGCTGGATGGAAGCAGTGGTGCTTGGGTTTGTGCAGAGAGCACCTGGGTAAGAACTCCCTGATCCTGTTTCAAATCTAGTTGGTGAGGAAAATCTCTCCTTCCATGATTGATGTACTGGTCAGAATTTGTAGCACAGTAATCCAGGCTGGAATTTTTTCATAAATACTTGCAACTTTTGAAAGATGCTGACATGCGTGTGTACGGGTGGGCTGTTTCTTATGGTGCCATTTCCTGGGAGACTCCAGGGGTAAAATAGCTAATTGTTCCCTTTCAGGTAGAACCTGCACCATTCCTTGAAGAGCTGCATCATGCAGTGAAGAAACAAGTGAAAACATCCTTTGTGATTAAGGGTTTAGAGGTGTTTTAGAGATGGTTGCAAATAGCTGCTCACAGAATTTCCTGTGATTAGCAGCATGACAGTAATTACATGGATTCCTAATGTTTTGCTGTTGACCTCTTGCTAGGGCAGATGTCTTGTCTCGGTTGCTGGGGAACCTGGTTGTAAAAAACAAGAAAGCTCAGTTTGTGGTGACACAGAAGGTGCTGCTCTTGCAGTATGGCCACTCGGTAAGGACTCTGCATTGAACAGTTGTGTAGTAATGCCTGGTTCTCCCAAGTGCCAATGTGTTTTTAGCTGAGCTTCAGGTCTTCTTGAGTAAGATTTAATTCTTCATTCTGAAATCAGCCCTCAGTCTCTGCACATGTACCTGAGCTATACATCCCCTCAACTAAATGTAATGAAGAGGGAGTAGTAGGTAGTTGCTTTGAAATCATGGGATTCGTGTGCCCTCTCAGGGTTGATGACAGTTAGCAGAATTACTGTACTCTTTTGCTGGAACCAAAGGGTTATTTGTGCATAATTTCAGTGTTCTGGGGAGTTGGAGACATCTAGCTGATTTAGAATCTGAGAGACTGAAGAAACCATGATCCACCCTCAAGGATAAGAATTAGATTGAAGAGATGAGATAGGGTCTGGTTTGCTTTTTTTCCTGTGCACCTAAGTTTTTCACAAGGTGTTAGGAAGCGTTCTGTGGATTGTGATGATGATGTGAGAGATGTGCTGCGGACTTTGTGTTCCATGTTTGCCTGGGACTGTGCTGATCTGTTTTTGATGGTAAAAATACCGTACTTTGTTCCTGTCCTGTTTTTCCATGTATTTCATCAGCAACTGCATGTGTGTGTGTGTTTTTTTATTTTTCTGTCTCTGAATGTTGTCAACCAGTCCCTCAGAATGAAAAGTTTAACACAGTAAAAATACACACTTGTCATTGCCGGACAACAACTTTATGTTCATTTAAAGCAAGACTCGTGGTTTTCATTGCAGACCTCAGTGCTGCAGAACCTCCTTGGCTACCTGTCCCTGGATAGCCTTCGGCGTGCCTTATTAATCAAGGTAAGGATAAGTAACATTGTTGGTGAGGTGGCCAATGAAAAAATTCTACTCTGTGTGTGTGTATGTGTGTCTGAGGGGGGTGCACACTTTTGGTACTTCTCTAAGATGCTTCTGTTGCTGTTCATGAGAGTGAGGGAAGCCCTACCATATCACAAGTAAATTGTGATACACAAATTGAAGACTTTCTGCACTGCTGGTGTTAGTTTTTCATACTGAAATGGTAAATTGTCTTCCAATTTACATTGCTGCTTCCAAGCAGCAGAACTAATGAGGCTCTGATTTTGGCAGATTACCCATGTCCTCAATCCTTCTCAGCTTCCTCTGTCATCCCCTATTTGTGTGGCTGGGCAGATGGCAGCAAGGGATGAAGTTGGTTGAGAGCTGTCTCTCTCATCTACCTTTTCCTCAGGAGAGGTGCAGATATTTCCCCTCTCCAAGTCAGTAGGGTGATGGAACTTACAGAAATATTGTACCTGTGGAAGTTTCTACCGTTTTACCAATTTGTCTTTTTCCCCAGTTACATATTCTAAAATTATCTGGAAGCACTGGCAGCTATATAAGACTGGACTAAAACCATATAAAACCACATAATACTGTTTTTTGACAATAATACATATTGCTTTGCATATAATATATATGAGAAATTAACATATTTATCACTTTTAAATTAAAAAAAGCATTATCTTTAACAATATAGTAAATGAAGGTGGTGTGGAGTTCTCAGTTCATCAAACACAGTATGTTTTGGGCCCTGAAACACGGTTAGCTCTGTTTGTAGGGAGTGTAAAGTTCACTGGGAAGCATGAAGACCAAAGGGGCGTTTCAGAAATGTGCTTGAAAAAGAAGATTACTTATGTATAGAAAAGATCCCTTTCAAGTCAACTTGTGTTCACTGGTTCAGGTGCTGCTAGAACTCTTGGAGACCTGGAGCAGCAGCAGTGCTGTGAAACACTCTCCACCTGAGCAGCAGCAGTATATTAGCAAGGCCATCCTTATCGGCCTCTCCCACCTGAAGGAGCATGAAATTGAGAGCTGCAGACAAGGTGAGGCAGTGGGAGAAAACAGCGGTTAGATTTGTTTAACACAAGACCTGACTGTGAGTAGAAAAACATCTTGTTTTGATCTATGGATAAACAAAATTGTGACATCTTTATCTTGGCAAACTAGATAGCCTGCTGGAATCCTCTTTAGCACTGATGATACATAATTTCAAGTGCCTAGTTTTAGATTATGAAATTAGAGAAGCATATCTTTGAACTAAGGTTCTTCCCTGAACAGTGGTTAAGGAACCCTTAAGTTCTGTCACAGAAAGACAATGACTGACTGTGGGACTGGTTAGAGGAATGGTGTGATTTGTAATTTATAGGCTTACTGTTGGAGCATGAGTAAGGCTCCAGGGAAAACAGGGGGAAGTA